CCCAAGAGGCAGAGGTTCAGTGAGCCGAGATCACGTCACTGCACTCCAGCCTGGGTGACAGAGCAAGACTTCATCTCAAAAAAAAAAAGCTTGCTGAAAATAATCCCCCTAGTTTCTCCTAGCTTGTAAAATTTCTACCGAGAAGCACACTGGTAGCCCGATGGGGTTTCCTTTGTATGTAACATGACCTTTTTCTTTAGCTTTAAGATTTTTTTTTTCTTTTAACATTGACCTTGGATGGCCTGGTGAGTATATGCCTTGGTGATGTTCATTTTGTTTGTTATCTCCCAAGTGTTGTCTGGATTTGTATATTATCTCACAGGTGTTGTCTGGATTTGTTGTATCTGGATGTCTATCACTCTAGCAAGATGAGGGAAATTTTTTTGAGTTAGTTCCTCAAATATATTTTCCAGGTTGTTTGCTTTTTCTCCTTCTGTATCATGAATGCTAATAATTTATAGGTTTCATCGCTTTACATAATCCTGTGTTTCTTAAAGACTTTGTTCAATTTTAAAAGTTCATTTTCCTCTATTTTTGTGTGACTGGGTTAGTTCAAAAGATCAGCCTTCATTCCTTTCTTCTTTATTCCTTTTGTTTGTCTGTTTTGCAGTGATATGATCACGGCTCACTGCAGCCTTGGACTCCCAGGCTCAGGTGATCCTTTCACCCCAGCCTCCCAGGTAGCTAGAACTATAGGTGCGAGCCACCATACCCAGCTAATTTTTAAATTTCTTTGTAAAAACGTGGTCTCTTTATGTTTTCCAGGATGGTCTCAAGTTCCTTGGCTCAAATGATCTTCCTGCCTCAGCCTCCTCAAGTGTTGGGATTATAGACATGAGCCACCATGCCTGGCCTGAAATTCTTTCTTTTGCTTGGTCCAGTCTATTGATAAAGCTTTCAGTTATATTTTGAAATTTCTTAAGTAAACCTTTTTCAGTCCCAGAAGCTCTGATTGATTTCTTTTAAAGATCTTTACCTCTTCTTTTATTTGCTAGATTTCCTTTGAAGTGTGTTAGTATTGATTTTCAGTCTTGTCTTGGATGTCTTTGAGCTTCCTTGCAACCCATGCTTTGAGTTCTTTGTCATTTCTGAGTGTCCTTTTTGGTTGAGGACCGTTGCTGGAGAGCTAGTGTGATCCTTTTGTGGTGGCACTACATTCAGATTTTTCATGGTGCCAGTATTCTTGCACTGGTTTCTGCCCATCTGGAGACACTGGCACTGCTAATTTGTGTGATTATTTTTGTACTGGTAGGATTTTTTCTTTCTTATAATGTTTTTTCTTCTTTCCCTTTCCCCTTCTCCTTAGGGGGTGTAAGTGGAAATAATGCTGTGTAGAGTCGTTTGGCTTTGTTTTTATAGTCCTATGCACTTCAGTTGGCAGGTTTTATATTGGGCTGTGGAGTTTGTCCTGTAAACCAGTGGAAGGCCCTTATGGGTAAGAGCCAGGTGTTGCCAGTGTGACTGGGTATATATTTGATCCTTGTTTACTGGGAGCAGCTCTCCGTTGCCTCAGGCAGTGGGCTGATTTGTGGATTGTATAGTGGTCTGAGTTTCCTGCTCAGCCCTGAGGGGGCAGAGGGCAAGATATGTAGGGCTGGACTGGGCACTTTCACCGCCAGGTCCTCCAATGGCAAGCACAAGCGTCAGTGCATAGGGAGAATCCAGTGGGTAGTCACCAAGCACCCAGAGGTGTACCTGGGTGTGGCGCTGGGAGACCTCCTTGGCCCTAAGTTCTCTACACAGGGATGGGCGGCAGCTTAAACTCCTAATCCTGAAGAGTAGGTGCTCCAGATGACTGGACATCTGCCTGGGCATGAAGTGGAGAGGGTCCCCCCGACCCCACCACCACTAAGATGTCTGTGGAGGAGGGTTGGGGTGATCTAAGCTGCTGTACCAGGCAAGCAGGTGCTCTGAATGCCTGGAGATATGCCTGGGCATGAAGCAGGGAGGGCCTCCCTGTACCCAGATCTCTTCATAGGAAGAGTGGCATGGCCCAAGATGGCAGTTTGGGCAAATAGGTACTTTGAATATCTGAAGATCTTCTTGGGCAATGGTGCGGAAGGGCCCTGTTGCACCATAATCTATCTACAGAAGGATGGAGCAGTTCAGGCTGCTGATCCAGGTGAGTGGGTGCTCTGAATGTCTGGGAGATCTGTCTGAGTGTGAAGCAGAGAGGGGCCTCCCTACGCTAGGATCTCTGCACAGGAAGGGTGAGGCAGATCAGGCTGCTGATCCAGGTGAGCAGATGCTCTGAATGCCTGGGAGATCTGTCTGAGTGTGAAGCAGAGAGGGCCTCCCTACACTAGGATCTCTGCATAGGAAGGGTGAGGTAGATCAGGCTGCCGATTCAGGTGAGCAGATGCTCTGAATGCCTGGAGATTTGCCTGGGCCTGGAGCAAAGAGGGCCCCTCTGCACAGAATCTCTGTACAGGAAAAGTGGGCAACTCAATCTGCTAGTCCATGTGATCAGGTGCATCAGATACCTGGATATCTGTTTCCATGTGGAGTGGAGAGGGCCCCACTGTACCACAGTCTATGCACAGGAAGGATAAGGCAGCTCAGACTGCGGATGTAGGTGAGGGGGTGCTCTGAATACCTCTAGATCTGCCTACATGTGGAGCAGAGAGGCCTCCCCTGTGCCATGATCTATATCCATGAAGGGTGAGGTGGTTCAGCCTGCTTGTCCAGGCAAACAGTTGCTCCAAATGCCTGGATTTTTGCCAGGGAGTAGAGCAGAGAGGGCCCTGCTGCACCACATTCTCAGAGGAACAGGCTGTGGCAACCAGCCATGACACATGCAGACCAGTTCCAGGTTGCCAACCTGGATCTGGCTCCAAATCTGGTTGTCCAGGAGAAACTACAGCCGTAGCAGCTCTCCTCTCATCCTAGACCTGCAGCGGAGGAGAGCACAATCCTGGCACCTAGTGCTGAGGCACTAACTACAGTGTGGCTGTGAAGACCCCTGTCCTGCTCCAGAGCCAGATGCCTATGTGGCCATGCTGCTGGGTTGCCAAAGAATGGTTGACTTGTATGCACCCACATTTAAAATGGTGTTCTGTTCTCCGTCCTGGGTCTGGAAATGCCAGTAGCTTTTCCCAGTGTCTGTCCCTCACAGCATCTCCAAACCAGCCTGTCCCCAAGTTAGATCCAGGTCTTGGAAGAAACAAAGTGCTCTTTCTTGACCTGGGTTGCTCAGATCCCCAGTGGAAAAGTGAGTCACAGAGGGAGGCTTTCTGACTGTCTTGCATACTTGGGCTTCCCTCACTTTTATCAATTGGATGCCATCATAGGGGCTGTTTGTGTTTGTGTGTCTTCCTTGGATCTCGGGTGTCCATCACGATTCCAGTGGATTCCTGTTTTCCTTTGTGAATTAAAGCTCTCAGAGTTGACCTTTGTACACTATCTTGCTATTTTCGAGAGAATAAGGCCCACTAAAAGCCTCTAATCTGCCATCTTGGAAATTAAAAAGGATTTAGAATATAATCTTAATTGAGAAAGCAGTGGCAGGGTTTGAGAGGATTGACTCCAATTTTGAAAGTTCTACTTGTGGGTAAGATGCATCAAACAGCATCACATGCTATAGAGAAATCTTTTGGGAAGGAATAATTAATTGATGTGGCAAACTTCGTTGTTGTCTTATTTTAAGAAATTTCTACAGCTACCCCAACATTTTGCTACCACCGCACTGATCAGGAAGAAGTTATTAACATAGAGGCAAGACTCTCCACCAGCAAAAAGATTTTGACTCGTTGTAGATTCAGATGATCATTGGCATTTTTAGCAATAAAGTGTTTAAAATCTTTTTTACTTTTGATTTTTATGGCTACATAGTAGGTGTATATATTGGGTACATGAGATATTTTGATACAGGCATATAATGCATAACAATCATCAGGGAATAGTGGGTATCCTTCACCTCAAACATTATTTTTATATTGAGGTGTATATATATTTTTTCAGACATAATGCTATTATATACGTAATAGACTACAGTATAGTGTAAACATTTATATGTCCTGGGAAAACAAACATTTTTGTCTTATTTGCTTTATTGTGGTATTTGCTTTATTGATGTGGTCTGAAACCGAACCTGCAGTATCTCTGAGATATGCCTATATGTCTTTCCTGTGACTACTTTTAGTATTTTTTCTCTATACAAAATTTATACCTATACAAATTGCTGATGTTCAGCAATTTGATCTTAATATATCTTGGCTCTCTTTCTCACCTTCTCTCTCTCTCTTTGTGTTTTATCTTTTCAAATTTGTTGAATTTGATGCATCTGTGTGGGTTTATGGTTTACATAAAATTTGGAAAATGTTTCTCCTTATTTCCCTCCTTCCTTGCCTTACTTTTCTTTCATTACTTCCCATCCTGTTTGTTTATTTTTCATGTGGGACTCAGGCTTTTTGTTTCTTCCTTTATTTAAATAACATTTTTTCCTTTTCAAATGATTCATGTTTTGTGCTGCACTGTCTAATCTCATTTTAATCTTATTCAACACAAATTTTGTTTCAGATATATGAATTTTTTTTGCAGATAAAGATGTGTTTTATTTTAATGATTGATCTGTATAATCACCAAGACCACTATGTACAGACAAGAAAAGGGATGCTTTATTTCCTGGTCTCTTTCTCCTTGGACAAAGTCTTGATATGCTCTTCCCTCTTTGCCTGGAGGCGCTGTTCATGGTACTTGCATGCTTCCTTGATCTTAGACCAGCAGGCCTCTGCCTGGTCAGCCAGGAGCATCTTGTGGGGCTGTGTGCCTTCAGCAGGCGGATGTGTTCCGTGAGAATCGGCCTGTTTTTGAACACATTCCCTTTTACCTTCAGGTACAGGCTGTGATACATGTGGCTATCAGTCTTTTTAGATTCACAGTCTCTTTGAGCAGCTGACGCAGAATTCCTGTTCTCCTCACCCAAGTTATCTTCTCTGGCATTTGAGCATTGGCTGTACCCTTTTTGCTTACCTGTGTCCATGTACCTGCCCTTCTGGCAGGCCGAGGTTCTTTTCTGGCAGTGAGCCCAGGAACGGACAGTCACCGACTTAACGGATAATCAGTCCACCTTTGATCAGCTTCTGGATGTGCTGACAGGAGTTGGCATGGCAGATTTCATTGGTCTCCTTGGTGTCCAGCCAGATCTTTTTGCCACAGCAGAGGACGCTAAAGGTAAGCCTCTTCTGAAGCCTTGAACATACTCACAGCTTCTGCTGCAGCAACAAAAGCAAATATTTTATTTTTTATCTCTTAAATTTCTGTTTATCTTTCCCTCATCTTCCATTTCCTTTAACATCTGTGAGTATGTGAAAGTATATTCATAAGAGCTTTTTATAAGATATTTATCAATTTCACCGCCTCTGTTGTTTCTGGGTCTGTTTTATTGACTAATTTTTCTCTTTATGAGTTATAGCTCCTGATTACTCATAGGTTTAATAATTTTTGATTGATTTTTTTGACATTGTTAATTTTATGTTTGTGAATGTCGAATTTTGTTTTGCTTAAGAAGTTACGGACTCATTCTGGTAGGCAGTTAAGTACGTTGTCTTGTGGTTTGGCTTGAGGCTTTTGAGGTTAGTTTTTAAGCTACTCTAGGGAGAATCTGGAATATCCTTTATCTTTTGGTAATATAATCTCCTTTCTAAAATAATGCTGTTCTGAGTTCTTTTCTGAGTGACCTTTATATTCATGGAGTTCTTTCAACTCTGGATAGTAGGAAAGATTCCCTGCCTTGTGATACGTCTGGGAATTTTGCTTTTTATTGCTCCCTGATCGTTTTTTTCCGCTTTAGAAACTGGTTTTGCTGGGCTTTGAGGAGTGTTTTGTAAGCTTGCACAGACTGGCTTTTCATGGAAACCTCTAGATAGATTGCTGAACCTTTTCTCTGCATAGCTCCCTTCTCCTGATACTCTGTAATGGAAGTTCTATTTGCCTTGATTCCTCACCAAACTCTAAGCTCTATTTCTTCAACTCAGCAAAATTGCTTGGTTCTGTTTGAGTTCTGCTTTTCCTGTGCTACAGTCTGACATAGTCTCTAGATCTAAAGCCTGGGTGATGGCAGGGCTCATCTTATTTCTTCTCCTTCTCTTGGGGACCTCACTATATCTAGTTCTGGAATACCTGATAGCCAGCATCTGAAAATAGTTTCTTACATTTTGTTGAGTTTTGTAGCTATTTACAGCTGACAGATAATTCTGCCTCCTGTCACACCTGGTGGCTAGAAGTGGAAGTTCTACAATGGATACTTAAACTTCGAAGCTGCTTGAACTTTTGGTAGCTTTTGATGTAGCCAAATATTACCTTCTTGTGCTTCATGACCTCATTTCTTAAATATTGGTGTTTCCTTGATATGTGTTTTGTGTTTGACTCTTATTTTTTCTTAGACATTTTCTTGATGATTTTGTCTCTTCTGAAGGCTTTAAGCTATGTGCTGATGACACCAAGAATTATATTTCTAGTTCAAATCTCTCCTGAGATTTGTAAATCCAGTTGCTTACTGGAAATCTACTTTTAGATGACTAGAATTGAGCCCATCTTGTTCCCCTCCAGACTGTTTTTTTTTTTCCTGTGTTTCCTACCTTAGTAAATGGCATTACCATCCACTCATTTGCAAAAACAAAGTAATGACATTTTTTGTATGGCAGAAAATCAAATAGATGGCACAATTAAAAATAAGTGAAGTCAAAATGAAAATGAAAATGTTTTTAATCTCAAGAAAAGGGCTAGTTTCCTTTGTATACAAATAAGAAAAGGACTGAAAACCCAGTGGAAAAATGAGTAAAGAACAAGTAGGTGATTTTAGTTTCTTAATCATATTGAAAAGATGGTCAACTTCACTCATAATAATATAAGTTAAGTCTACACTGAGCTAATAAGTTTTCATCACAGATTGGCTAAAATCCAAATAATTTCATTAAATACCCTATTGGTGAAACTATGGGAAAGAAAGGCTCTAATATATTGCTTGTTGGAGAATAAATTGGTACAAACTCTATGAAGGACAACTTGCTGAAATCAGTGTATGTGTATATATATTTATAGAACATACAAGTATAATAGGTAGAATGTACCATAATGTAATCAATAATTTTAATAATTACCATATAGTTATTATAATAGTGATCTTATGTTATACCACATTATTAAAATTATGTTATGTGATTATATACTTATTTGTCAGTATATCTACTTTTATATTGATGTGTGTATGAATGTGTCTGTGTTCTCAGTTTCATTTCGGGAATTTATTCCACATATATTCTAGCACATGTATTAACTGACTTATACATAAGGTTACTCATTGCAGCATTGTTTATCGTATCAAAAGAGAACCTGGATGTCCATAAGCAAAAGACTGGGCAAGTAAGATGTGCTGTATCCCTGTAATTGAATAGAATGCAGCTGTAAAAAAGAACAGTGATGCTTTATACAGGTTGAGAATCCCTTATCTGAGATGCTTGGGACCAGAAGTGTTTCAGATATCTGAATTTTTTTTTTTTTTTTTTTTTTGTATTTTGAAGTATTTGCATATACATGATGAGATATCTTGGGGCTGGGACCCAAGGCCAAACATGAAATTTGTTTTGTATCTAAATTTGCATTATACACATAGCCTGTGGGTAATGTTACACAATATTTTAAGTAATTTTCTGCATGAAACAAAGTTTGCATACATTGAACCATCAGAAAGCAAAGGTGTCACTATCTCAGCCACCCATCTGGACAGTCTGTGGGGTTGTTTGGCATCACCATCATTTCTGACTCTGAATTTACATGCTACTGATAAGCAATCATTTTCTTATACTTGCTCATGCATAAGTACTTACCTGTAAAAAACATGGCATAACATTAATACAGTGGAAAATAAATATGTTCAGGGTAATTAAGCAGCACAGTAGCATTACCAGAATACCTGTATCAGCTTTTAAACAGCAGGAACAACAAACAACGGCAGGCTTTTAGTTTTCATCTATGATGCTGATTTTTGATTGAAAGGTTACTAATATACACTGTGTGCGTTTTTTTTTGTTTGTTTGTTTTGTTTTTTAAGGTGAGAAGAAACATCAGAAGCAGCTGAGGGACCAGGAAATAGGTCCGCTAGGGATAAGGAAACATTCTGCTGGATGGCTTTTTAAAATGTTTCCTCTAGAATCGTCTGCCTCATTAACAATGGCTTTTGTCTTAGAAGTCTCTCTTTGATGTTATAAACTGACGTGATTTCTTGTTCTGTTAAGAATGCATTCTACTTTAGTCCTAAAATAACCCCATCACACCATGTCATCTTCTGGCACTTTTTCTGCAATGTTAACATCTTCTTCATTGTTACTACTACTACTACCATAACCTTGATTCAGAACCATTTCTGCTATTTCTTTTTTCTTTTATTGAGATAGGGTCTAACTCTGCCACCCAGGCTGTAGTGCCATGGCGTGATCTCAGCTCACTGCAACCTCCACTTCCCAGGCTCAGTCTCCCAAGTAGCTGGGACCACAGGCATGTGCCGCCATGCCCACCAAACGTTTGGTATTTCTTAATAGAGACAGGGTTTCGCTGTTTGCCCAGGCTGGTCTCGAACTCCTGAGCTCAAGCGATACGCCTCCCTTGGCCTCCCAAAGTGCTGGAATACAGGCATGAGCCACCACGCCCTGCCCATTTCTGCTATTTTACCATTGGTCAATGAATGAGCAACTGTAGACTCACTATCAATGTTAAAAACTTATTTGATATCCATTTCTTCCAACTTACTGACAGACTCTGAAGGTATTTTTTTTTTTGCATATGTAAGAAAGTCAAACATCTTTTTATTTTTATTTATTATGGTTTTTTAAATTTTTAATTAATTAATTTTTTTGAGACGGAGTCTTGCTGTGTTGCCCAGGCTGGAGTGCAGAGGCGCAATCTTGGCTCACTGCAGGCTCCGTCTCCCAGGTTCACACCATTCTCCTGCCTCAGCCTCCCAAGTAGCTGGCACTACAGGTGCCCGCCACCACGCCCGGCTTATTTTTTGTATTTTTAGGAGAGACGGGGTTTCACCATTTTAGCCAGGATGGTCTCGATCTCCTGGTGATCCACCAGTCTCGGCCTCCCAAAGTGCTGGGATTGCAGTCATGAGCCACCGCGCCTGGCCTATTTTTTTTTTTTATCTTGACATACAGAATCCTTCAAAGTCACTGCCTTGTTCATCATCATTACTGAACATAGTTGCAAGCTAGAGATTGTGTCAGGTATGCACAACTGTGTCTTTAGATACTGTGTTCCAGTCATTGACAATAGCATATACAATATTCTAAATGCTAAACTGCTTTTAGAAAACCTTACACGCTCATACGTCTGTTCACTGCTGCAGGTAGGCTGTTCAAGAAAGTGTTTTTATATTTATTCTTTATTGATTTGAGGATACCCTACTCACTTGCTGAATTAATGAAGTCACATTTGGGGGAAAGTACATGGAATAAACATTATTTTTAATGAGATTTTTCAGCGGGATGAGCAGAACAGTTGTCAAGGAATAACAAAATCTTGTAGTCATCATCCAGTCCAGCTTCCCTGCAGCAAACCCGAACCACTGCTACAAAATGTTTGTGAAACCAATCAGAAAAGATGTCCCTGGTGACCCATGCCTTTTTGTTAGTCTAGTAATGAACCCAGTCTTTCCCACACAGCAGGTTTACACTTAGTGTGCCTTCTGTGTTAGCACCTACCAGCACAGTTACTCTGTCCATGGCATTCTTATCCGGTAGGGGCTGTATTAGAGTCTTTCTGGGGAACTAACACCAAACTGTGATGTTTCATTAGCATTATAGACTTGTTCTGGTGTCAGATTTTCATCAGTGATGGCCTTGGCAAACTTGTCAATGAATTTTTCTGCTTTTTCATGATCAGCAGTTGCTTTATCACCACAAATCTTTAAAAATTTAATGTTGTGTCTTAAATTTCTGCAATCAGCCTGTTGAATATTCACAGTTTCCTTCAATTTTCAGTTCATCGTGATATATCTTTGCTTGTTTCATGAGCACCATACCATTAAGTAGTATGCTTTCTCTGCCATGCTGACAGATTTACTCTTTCAGTATACATTTGAGATCTTCATTTTGGTTTTCTGCAATTAAAAAAAACTTTTCCATTAACTTCTGTTCATTGACACTTCAGCATAGAACTTCAACAATTTATCCTTCTCTTTCTTCAGGTTGTCTATGGTGGTCATTCCAACACCATGCTCTTTTGTAAGACATTTCCCACACTGCTGTCCAGTTTATCCAGCAGCTTGACTTTTTGTGCTAGAGATAAGCATAAATGCTTCCTGTTTTTCTGTCACTTACTCAGATTTTCAACATTGTCTTTATGCCACAAAGCAGAGAATAAGGAAAAAAACCCACAGTGAGTAATGCACAGTCTTGGCTCCATGTGGAACCTATGGGGAACTCCATGTGGAATCATGGGGAACCTATCGTTGGTGCATCTGGCCTGTACCTGTAACATTTTATTACCCTTCTTTGGATGTGTTTGGGTGGGAGAATCTGTGCATGCATGGAAAAGATTTGTCGGAGCCGAAGTGGGCTGGGGAGGATCTTTTTTCCTTAAATTGTGTTATGTGCTTACAGTTTGACTGTGACTCATTACATGAGGGCAGGTGTGGAATTTTCCATTGTCAGTATCATGTTGGTGCTCCAAAAATTTCAGATCTTGGAGCATTTTGGATTTCAGATTTTTGGGTTATGGATGGTTAACCTGTATGGAAAGCTCTCTAACATAGTTTTGTCAAGTGGAAACAGTAGACAACATAACAATATTTATAAAGAAGGGTGTGTATGTGCTTCTTATATATTCAAAGGGGAGGAATTAAGAATATGTATTCATATTTGCATAAAGGTTTCACAAAAAACTAATAAAAGTGATTATTTTTGGAGGTGTTGCTGGGCACATGAGGAAGAGGGCTTGAAAGGAGAGTGTTTACTATATATGTTTTTATATTGTTATAGTCTTCTGAATATATTAAAATAAAATTAAAAACTTTGTAAAATTTTAAAAATTAAAAATTTTGTAAAAGGTCTTTAAAGAAAATATTTTCATTCTTCTTTCTTTTTCAAATCAGTAAACTAAAAAAGCTGAGTGAAGACAGTTTGACTAAGCAGCCTGAAGAAGTTTTTGATGTATTAGAGAAGCTTGGAGAAGGGTAAGTACAAAAAATATGAAAGCGTCTAAATAATTTCAGAACAATTTAAAAAATATTGTATGATAGTAATCTTTCAACTAGAGTATATTTGTATGAATTGAATAGTATTTAGTAGTAATTAAATTTGGCAGGTGATACTGAATTTTAAAGATTAGTGTGTGCTAAATCTGGTAATAGTGTTTTTTCAGAGAAGTAGGCCATATATATAAGCAAAAAGCAGGAAATGTGCTGTGAAGTGATTTTCAAGAGATTTGTTAGTTCATCCCTTATGGCATTCTTATTAATATGCTTGAAGGTTTTGACTTTGTTAGGCAAGCAAACATAAGGCCATCCTTTTAGATCTTGGGGCTCATTTTATTTTGGAAAAGGTAAGTAGTTGATATTACAAGAATATCTTAGTGAGGAAAACAGTTTGTATAGGCAGAAGAATAGTTGACATGGTTTCAAAATAATAGTAGAGAAACATGTCTCGGTTCGAGCAGAGAGAAAGGTAGGGAGCGTTTAATGGAATGGCAAAGTATAGGAGAATTTTTAAAATAATAAAGGTACAAAACAGAATTAAAAGAAGCTTATAGATCAGCAAGAACAAGGACAAGGAAATAGAGAGAATAAAAAGGTAAAATAATAAGGTAGGCCAGGCATGGTGGCTCACACCTGTAATCCCAGCACTTTGGGAGGCTGAAATGGGTGGATCACTTGAGGTCGGGAGTTTGAGACCAGCCTGACCAACATGGAAAAACCCCATCTCTACTAAAAATACAAAATTAGCTGGGCGTGGTAGCAGGCGCCTGTAATCCTAGCTACTCGGGAAGCTGAGGCAGGAGAATCACTTGAACCTGGAAGGTGAAGGTTGCGGTGAGCTGAGATCACGTCATTGCACTCCAGCCTGGGCAACACAAGAGAAGCTCCATCTCAAAAAAAAGAAAAAAAAAAATAATAAGCTAAACATGATGGAAGGAATAAAATCAAGTGTATTTTTCAGTAAATGTTAATTCTCCCATTAAAAGACAAACTGTTAGAGTAAATGAACATGTGAAACCTACCTATATTTTGTTTATAGGAGATGCAAGTAAAACAAATAATGGAAATATAAGGCTATTTATTTATTATTAATAGAGATGGGATCTTGCTATGTTACCCAGGCTGGTCTTCAACTCCTGGCCTCAAGTGATCCTCCTTCCTTGACCTCCCAAATTGTTAGGATTATAGATGTGGGCCACTGTGCATAGCTTATAAGGATATTTCTTATAAAAAAATATTATGTAAGAGATGAATGTACAAATAAAAAAACAGAAAGTAATAGCAATTTTTATATTAGATACATTAAAGTTTAAAAGATTTCAACTAAATAAAGAGGTATATTAGGTAGCGATATCAAAGACAATTTATAACAAAACATGTCAGACAACATGGCAGCTAAATTTATGACAGAAAAGCTATTAGTGATGTCAGAGGCATCTAATAAAAGTGTAATTGTATGGGAGATTTCAGTGTGTCTCTTTTAGAATTGGACAGATACAATAGAAAAAAGAGAAAGGACATAGAGGGAGTTAACATTATGATGAATAAACTTGATTTTATAGGAATGTAAATATATATAAAGTAAAAATATATAAAGTACCTGTATGTCTATATAACTATACATATATGTTTCTTGTGGACCTGCTTTTTTGGTGTATGTTCAAGGACCATTGATAAAAGAAAAGTTACAAATTCTAAAAAATAAGAGATTTTTACTGGTCACATTTTGTGATTGTATTAAGCTATTCTTGTGTTGTTATAAGAAAAATACCTGAGACTGGGTAATTTATAAAGAAAAACTTAATTGGCTCACAGTTCTGCAGATACTACAAAAAGCACGGTGCCAGCATCTGCTTCTGGTGAGGGCTTCAGGAAGGTTATAGTCATGGAAGAAGGCAGAGGGGGAGCAGATGTCTCACATGGTAAGAGCAGGAGCAAGATAGGGCAGGGGAGGTGCCAGAGTTTTATTTTTTTTATTTTTAAATTTTTTTGAGACAGAGTTTCTCTCTCGTCATCCAGCCTGGAGTGCAATGGCACCATCTTGGCTCACTGCAACGTCCTCCCGGGTTCAAGGAATTCTCTTGCCTCAACCTTCTGAGTAGCTGGGATTATAGGCGCCTGCCACCACGCCCAGCTAATTTTCATATTTTCAGTAGAGATGAGGTTTCACAATATTGGCCAGGCTGGTCTCGAACTCCTGACCTCAGGTGATCTGCCCACCTCGGCCTTCCACAGTGTTGGGATGACAGGCGTGAGCCACTGCACCCGGCCTGTCACACCGTTTTAAACAAGCACGTCCTGTGAGAACTCACTTACCATCTCAAGGACACCAACAAGCCATGAGGAAACTGCCCCTATGACCCAAACGTCTCCTAACAGATTCTACCTCCAACATTGGGGATTACATTTCAAAATGAGTTTTGGAGAGGACAAATATGCAAACCATATCACTGATTATACTCACTAAATTAGAAATAAGTAGTTATAATATGACAAAATCCACACCAACTGGAAATTAGGAAACATAATCTGAAGTAACTTGTTGATTGAAGAGGATATTATAAATTATCTACAAAACACTGAAAAGGAGAACACATTGTGCCAGTATCTATGGAATACAATAAAACTAATTAAGAGAAAAGTTTTAGTTCTAAATTCATTCATTACTAAAGAAGAAAGGCAAAAAATAAACTTAGTGCTTAAAGAACTTAGAATAATTATGAAACATACTGAAAGAAACTGAAGATTGAATTAAAGAAAAAGCTGAAATTAATGAGATAGAAAAAAAATTAAAAATGAAAAATATGAACCCAGCGCAGTGGCTTATGCACTGTAATCCCAGCATTTTGGGAGGCCGAGGTGGGTGGATCACTTGAGGTCTGGAGTTTGGGACCAGCTTAACCAATATGGTGAAACCCCATCTCTACTAAAAATACAAAAATTAGCCGAGCGTGATGGCATGTGCCTGTAATCCCAGCTACTTGGAAGGCTGAGACAGGAGAATTGCTTGAACCCAGGAGGTGGAGGTTGCAGTGAGTCAAGATTGTGCCACTGCACTCCAGCCTGGGTGACAGAGCGTGACTCTGTCTCAAAAAAAAAAAAAAAAAGATAAATACATATATGTTTATACATACATAAGCTTTCGAAGAGATCAGTAAAATAGTTAAACCTCTTACAAGGTTGACTAAAGAAAATAGAGCAAAAATACAGCAGATTTAGAATAAGAAGGAAGATATAGCCAGTGATAGAGAAATGAGTAAATAACTGTTAATTATAAAGATACCAACTCACAGCATATTATTTACAATAGCCAAAATGTGGAAACAACCCAAATGTCCATCTACTATCCCAGATGAATAAACAAAATGTGATATGTCTGTACAAGTGACCTTTTAGCCATGAAAAGGAGTGAAGTACTGGTACATGTTACAGTGTAGTTGGACCTACAAAATATTATGCTAAGTGAAGGAAGAAGCCAGATATAAAAGGTCACATATTGTATGATTTCATTTATAGAAGTATCTAGAATAGATAAATCTATAGAGACAGAAAGCAGATTCTATGTATTTTGGAACATACAGATAACATTTACACAGCACTGTGAACCCACTAAATGCCATTGAGTAGTACACTTTAAAATAGTGAATTTTATGCTGTGTGTATTTCACCTCCTCCCCTCCAGAAAGGTTCCAATTATGTTTTATACACTGTTTAAAGGACAGTTAATTATAGCTTTTTTTAAAAAAAATGAAGCTAGTGTAACTTTAATACTGATACCCAGATGTACAATAAAAGAAAACTGTAATTCAGCCTTGCTTTGTTACTCATTATGGTAACTGTTCCCACCTTGTCTCAGGTGAATAGATGTTGCCACTTCTCTTGTGTTGGGATCCTGTTATCTATTAAACTTAAGGAGCCAGTTTCACTGTTGGCATATTTGTCATCTTTCCCCTGCACTAATAGAGCTTTGATTGATGATGGTATCCTCTGGACGCTTTTTGAAAACATAGTTAGGGAGTTTGTGAGCATGGCACATATAATATATATCCATCTAGTATCCCATTTCCTTGAGCCTTTGATATGCTTCCTTTGGTGTGTACCGAGGCTCACTTAGCATCTCACTTAATATGGGCCACTGTTGAGTCCAGCTTTCAGTTAACTGGCTGAGCAACTGTTAGGGACACCCCCAACTGTTTGAGCTAACACGCTGAGTCTGGAATTTCTGGTCTTTCATCCATATCAATATATTTCTTCCTCTCTGGAAATCTTAGAATTCGCTCTCACACATATTCTTTAGGGTTCTGATAAAATTGGCAAAATCTTGCAACTTTTTTAGTGTGAATAGTAACTGCTTGGGTTAAATTTTATACTTGTCTCCCTGGTATCTATGGGAGTTGAGTATAACTTTGGGTCTGGAAGCAATGAGAAGTGGTGGTGGAGTGGTCCTCCAGACCACTGAAAAGTGACTGCTTCAGGAGGTGGAGTCTTCAGGCGTTGTAAGGTTAATTTTCTCAGACAGGAGGGCAGAGTTGCTTTTGGTAGCAAGGGAGGCTTGATAGGATTTGGGGATTCAAGGTACTCAGATTAATGAGAATCTATCTAAATGTCCTAATACCAGTTCTGTAGGTACTTCTCTTTACTGTTACATGCCTTAACTTTAACATAACAGACCTGGTGCTGATGTGAATTCAACTTGCAATGTAATTCAGCTTCCAGTAAGACTATACCTAGAGTTTGTTTTTCAGAAATCTCAACCCTGTTTCTGTAAGAATTAAGAAATTCAGAAGTTTTCTGGTTCTCTTAGTCTTGAGCTGGACATTTAAACCTTTAGCTTGCTGTGTTTGTTCTATAACTTTTCCAGTGCAGGCAGAGGCAGCAGCCCATTCTATAGTCCTTATACTTTATTTTCACCATACATTGTATTGATACAGCTACTTGGTCTTTTAAAGCTTTGCTTAGACTCCAGGCAACTAAGGGTGATAATTTAAGTAACTGTTTGCCACTGAATGCCATAGACCATCAGTGTTCTATTTGTTATTTGTATTGAAATCATTACTATCTACACATCTGTATTAGTCTGGTAAAGACATACCCGGGACTGGGCAGTTTACGAAAGACAGAAGTTTAATCAACTTACAGTTCCACGTGGCTAGGGAGGCCTCACAATCACGACGGAAGGCAAGGAAGATCAGGTCACATCGTACGTACATGGATGGCAGTGGGCAAAGAGAGAGCTTGTGCAGACAAACTCCCATTTTTAAAACCATCAGATCTCCTCGTGAGACCCATTCACTGTCATGAGAACAGCATGGGAAAGATCTGTCCCCATGATTCAGTGATCTCCCACTGAGTCCCTACCACAACACGTGGGAATTATGGGAGCTACAAGACGAGATTTGGGTGGGAACACAGCCAAACCGTATCAACATCTAAGAAAGAACTAATTCGAGATTCTCATCTTTAAGATTCTTTCCCTTGGAACCGCTTCTTCTACCATAAACTATATTGCTATCAAGGTATAGTCAGGAAAGAGAAGCTACTCTATGTACTCTAGATATAAAGAGTTTAGTAATAAAGTTAGGAGCTCAAATGAATTGTGGAGGGGCCAGGGATGCAAAGCTCATGAAAACTGTTGCCGAAGGTTGAAGGTCGAAGTCAGCATTGAAGATCTCAGCCTAAAGCACTGAAGTGGGTGTTTCTCAAAAGCTCTCTGGGAATCTGCTGGAATCCTGCAGTATTGAGAAACTCCCACCAGCTACCTCAGTCTGCAGCACTGGTGGTGGCTGTTGGAAGCTCAGCAGGAAGCCGTTGTGCACTTCATATCTGTCAGTCCATCTGCTACAACTATATCTGGAGAAAAAATGGTTTCTCCTTTTTGCATTCACACATGCATGTTCTTCCCACTGGCAGACTTTTAATGAGGACCCGTTCAGGGAAAGGGATTCTGGGAAATGGGGATTGCAGGTTCTCTTTTGTAATGCTGAGGAGTCCTTAGAAAGGAGTGATGGTGTTGCCTAATTGACAGTAGATGATCTAGCACTGAAATCTGTGTTTGCTTTTGAAGGAACATACACACATATGGCTTTCAAGGGGAGATACACACACTTACATTCCCCCACACCCAGCCCACTGTGACTTTGGGTACCAAACCAAATTAAATTACTTCAGAGAGCCCAAAGAAACAGAGGAGTGGATAAAATATATTTGATTGAAGTAGTCGCTTTATCACTTATTTCTCTCTTTTTCACTTATTTTAGAAGATTATAAATCTGGAAGGGCTTCTGTATAGATTTCTAATATTAGGAAACATTCGGTGTCTTCCATTGGCGTGCTTTTCCTTGTCTTCTGTAGAAAAATATGGTGAGAAAAACATGATTTTTGGGGTCAGAATGTGTTTGAATTCTGGCCCTACTGGTCTGTTTCTTATCTTTTAATGACAATAACAGTGTTTCTCCTTATGGTTGTGAGGGTTGAATTTCGTAATGCATATAAAACACCTAGCACAGGACCTGGTTTATAGTAAGAACTCAGTACATAGTAGTGTTTAACCTCGTTTTTAAATTCATACTAAGATACAAATGGCTTCTTCCTTCTTTGGTTTTGTTTTTTAAAACACGTGAATATTCAGTTGGCAAAGTTTCAGTAGTTGTAGCAGAGACAGGTTTTGGGCAAGTGACTTAGACCCTATTCCTCATTTTATTTACCTGTAAGCGTGTAGTTTTTCTCTTGAGGAAAAGGTAGTGAAAGGGACTTTTAAAAAAGACACCTTGGATCTCTAAATCAGGTAGAAGCAGATGGCTACAGATTCCTTGCTTCTCTAACTTTGATATTAATGTGGTCCCCAGCTGAGGGTTTTAACTGTTAAGGTACTCTGAACAGACATGTGACTTTTTGATATTCTGGGGGTCATTTTCCTTGAGATCAGCCTTTTCCCCTAATTTGAGACTTTGGCTATTTTTAATGTACATTTCATTCTTTTAATTTCCATTTATGTCTTCCTAATGCTGCATTTGTTTGAGTTGACAAAACGTAAGTCTGTTTCTTTCATTCATAAGAAAAATAGCTACTCATTATATATTAACTTGATTATTTTAAGTCTGTAGTTGAAGCAATAAAGCTGAGATATAATTCATTAACTTTTAAAATTGTTACTTGTTTATTTTGATTTTTTAATTTTTAAATAGTGTTTTAAACTAAAAAAGACTATCCACAGAAAACTCATAGACTTTTAACCTTATAGTTACGATGTTTCATAGGAAAAAAATAATGTCTTGGTTTCTTTTAGGTCTTATGGAAGTGTATTTAAAGCAATACACAAGGAATCTGGTCAAGTTGTCGCAATTAAACAAGTGCCTGTTGAATCAGATCTTCAGGAAATAATCAAAGAAATTTCCATAATGCAGCAATGTGACAGGTATGAAGAGATTTTATTTCTTTGCTTACCCTTCTTTTGACAAGTTTTGCTAATAACGTATAACAAAATTTATTCTTTGATCATCTGTTTAGTTTTCATTTCTTTTTCTTTTCTTTTTTTTGAGATGAGGTTTTGCTCTTGTTGCCCCGACTGGAGTGCAATGGTGTGATCTCGGCTCACTACAACCTTCGCCTTCTGGGTTCAAGTGATTCTCCTGCTTCAGTCCCCTGAGTATCTGGGATTACAGTCATGTGTCACCACGCCTGGCTAATTTTATATTTTTAGTAGAGATGGGTTTCTCCATTTTGGTCAGTCTGGTCTCGAACTCCTGACCTCACGTGATCCACCTGCCTTGGCCTCCAAATGCTGGGATTACAGACGTGAGCCACCACTCCCAGCCTAGTTTTCATTTCTGACTTCCCACTGTAAGTGAGATTAATCCTTTAAGGCAGATGAGGATGGCTTTGCCAAGTGTCTTTAGGACTTACAGCTCTTTGCAGCTTTTCTGCTTAAAAGCAGAAATGAGACTGGATGTGGTAGATCACACCTGTAATCTCAACCCTTAGGGAGGCCAGAACATCAAGGGTAAAGGAGCCTAGGAGTTCAAAGCCAGTCTGAGCAACATAGTGAGACCCTTTCTCTACCGAAAGAGAAAAAATTAGCCAGGTGTGGTGGCTTGGACTTGTAGTCCTAGCTACTTGGGAAACTGAGGCGGGAGGATTGTTTGAGCCCAGGAGTTCAGGGCCACAGTTAGCTATGATTGCAGCACTGCACTACAGCCTGGACATTTTTAGCACAACTTTATGGATGAGAATGAGTTTTTGATGTTAAAGGGGTCATTTAGCAGTATGTATTATATAATCACTTTTACTAATTAAGAAATCATGTTTTATGTAAATCTAATTCATTCAGCAAACATTCACTAAGCATCCCCAGTTGACCCAGTACTGTGCCAGGATCTAAGAATGCCAAAAGAACTAAGATAACTTTTTCTTTTTGAGGGATCAGTAGTGTAATTGGGAAGACAAATATATAAATAAGTAACTGTAATATAGCACACTCATTGTACTGACTTGTGCATGGGGTAACGTGAAAAGAAGAAGGCAGGGCATCTTTCTCAGCCAGTAGAGCCAGGAAATCTGGAATGCTGACAAAGAGTTAATTTGGTGAAGAAATGGAGTGATAAGGGAGAGTCAAGGGAATGACAGGTAGAAAGGTAAAAATAGCTCATTGGGGTGTGCTCATCTGACAAGACTTAGAATTATTGGAATGGAAAGTATGGGACAGAGAACAGAATGAAATGAGGTTGGATAGTTAAATGGAGCTGATGGTAAGGAGAGTCTTATGCAATGTTAAGTGGCCTAGGCTTTATTCTATAAGGGATTCAGAGTATATAAATTATGACTATGTTTAGCCTAAAGTTACTTAACCACAGAGGAATTTATTATTCTTCCTTAACAAAAGGTCTGCTGGTACAGCAGCAACAAAGGAACAACCAGGTCTCAGCCTTCTTTTCTTGTACTCTGTCATCCTTAGCATATACTTTGTCCTCATGCTTATTATCTCAGGGCTACGACAGGGTTGCTATAGCCCCAGCTTTATGTCTACCTTCCAGGCAGGAGGAAGAAAGGAAGAAGCAGGGAAGGGGCTTTCCCAGAAACCTTCAGCTTCAGTCTTATTTGTAAGAATTGTCTCATCTGTGACTTAGAGCTGGTGACACAGGGTAGTCTGGACACATTGTCTCCGCTTATTAATTCAGGGCCCTGTAATTAGAGATTTATGGAAAGCTTTCTTTTCTGACAATACATAGGATCTATAGATTGTAAGCTTCTTGGCTAATGAAGTGATTGCATAATCCTAGAGGAACTTTGCTGCTTGGATCTGTTCAATTTTGCTTTTTTTTAGAGTATGCTGCATATTTAAATTATGTTATTTATTTCCCACGGCATGTGAAATTCAAGTGGTTGTAGAAAAAAAAAGATACATTCCTCAACTGTGGTTCCCACAATTTGATATAGAATAGGAGGTGAGATAGCATAGTGCTTGGCCATCAGGTATGCTTTATACTTGCCTGATGCTAGCATTATTCTGTTATTATGGTTAAAAATAGTTCAGAAATTAGCATTGTACTTTGAGTGTTGTCTAGGAAAGTCAGGGTCTCAAATATTACTATTACATATCTCTTCCCTTAATCTTTGTAGGTCTTGGAATCTGTCAAATCTTGCTCAGATTTCTGCAACAGCATCTTAATTGTTCACTTTGTCTTTCATTTTTGCCTCCTCCAACCCATTATCTTCCTTGAAGCTAGAGTGTTTTTTTCTAAAATGCAAATGTAATCAAGCATTCTCTGTTTAAAACCTGTGGCTCCGCATTGCCTGGAGAAATCGAGTCTCCAGTCCTTAATGTTCCATCTGGTGCTTACACCTCCAGTCTGTTCCCTGAGTTTCTCTTTTAAGTGTCTGTTTACTTGTATTCTCTATCATCTAAGTCTTAAGTTCCTTGAATTCGGGGATTGTATTTTACTCAGTGTCCTTGGATCCTGCCACATAATGGTTACTCAGATACTAATGAGTACATCTATTTAATAATTTCTGTTTGGGCAACTCAACTAGACTATCCAGAAGGAATTACACATTTAACATTCTAAAACCAATTTTAAACATTCCAGACAAGCCTTTCGAATTCCTGTGTGTCAAAGGCATCATCATGTACTTAGTCTTTTAGCAAGTCTGAGAATCATCTTTATTCCTTTTTATGATGCTTCTGATGATACTGAGTCTTGTAGATTTTCCTTCTGAAATGTCATCACTATCTTTATTCTTCTCGTCATTCCTTAAGGAAAGGAACCATATATTTTTCTTCATTAGCACCTGTTCGGTGCCTAGCAATATACTTTTTGATGAATGAATGAATGAATGAATGTGGTATGTATGAGGAGTATGAGGAAGAGCATTACAGATTGAGGGAACCCTAAGGAAATCAGGTACTTATTCTTGCTATGCACTTTAAGCTTTTAAAGCGAAAGAAAAATAAAGAATACAGTGGGAAGGAAATGTGAATAGAATTCTAGAACTTTTGTACCACTTTATAGCAGAATGCCTTGCACATAGTAGGTACTTCTCAAATATTTGTTGAATGAAATAAATGGTGAAGCAAATATTGATGAAAAATGGTTTCTGCCTTTTAGATTTCACTGTCAAATTCATATTGTAAGAAGTTGCGAAGGATCAAAAATCAGTTGGCTAAAAGATCCTAAAATGCTAAAAGATAGGACAAGTAAAAAATAAATAAGGGCTGGGCATGGTGGCTCATACCCGTAATCTCAGCACTTTGGGAGGCCGAGATGGGTGGATCATCTGAGGTCAGGAGTGCAAAACCAGCCTGGCCAACATGACAAAACTCCGTTTCTACAAAGATACAGAAATTAGCTGGACGTGGTGGCAGGTGCCTGTAATTCAAGCTACTCGGAAGGCTGAGGCAGGAGAATCACTTTAACCTGGAAGGCGGAAGTTGCAGTGAGCCGAGATTGCACTATTAAACTCCAGCCTGGGTGACAGAGTGAGACTCTTTCTCAAAAAAAAAAAAAAAAGAAAAACCATTAGGAAATGACAGGGACAAACTTAGATTTTAGCTACCAATAAATAATATTAATGTAAATGTGTTATTAAGAAATTAGCATAAAAATGATTGGAAGAAAACAGTATGAATTGAAAAATTCCCAAATAATACACTGAAATTTTGGTTAGGGAAAATGAGATATGCATTTCTGAAATTTAACTATTAATACATTTAGCTATTTGTGAATTTGGTAAAATGTCTTGCTTTCTATACTCTATAAAAAGACCAGAGGTGGTGTTTTTATCTTTTTTTTGTTCTTTTAAGTGAATATTTAATAATGGGCTGAATACTACATGTTGGCATAAATATCTCAGGAAGCCCATCTGCTTTGTTTATTGCTGAATGTGCAGTGCCTAGTTCGGTACCAGCTACAGAGTAGACATTTAATAAGTATTTATTAAATGGATAAATCATGGAATGTTATTGCTAGACTCAACTTTTGTGGGTCAGCTAGTTTAGTGTTTTTCAAATCATACCCTGATCTAAGAAGGTACTTTTAGTGGCATTTTCTTCACTGAAGAATTGAGTAGAATGAGAACTTCACTATTGCTTTTATCTTTTTTATATATGGGACTCTTTTGAAATTTTTATTTGAGGAAAAGTCTTCTAGTGCTAAAGCATATTTAAAAACAGTTTTGCAGATACAGAAAATGAGACCTAGAGCTTTTATGTGAATTGCCCAAGATTACACTGCTAATTAGTGACTGAGATGCAATAAGAACCCGCATTTACCCTACTCTAGGGCCAATGTTGAAGAAAGCAATGTCTGTAAAAAAATTCCAACAGTTCAAAGTGAAGCACTCTCAAGGCATTCCTAGGAGTAGAGGTAACAACTGGTTAGCAATACTATGTGCCAGGTAATATGTACACAAGGGAACCACAACTGACACAGTCCGTACTCTCCTGGTGCTTATATGCCAGAGAAGGAACTTTTCACATTTAAACAAAGAGAAATAATGTTGATACAAATCAGGGCACACACCTATCCCCTTTTTACCTGTTCAACTAGTATGTATTGAGTACCTCCTACTCCTAAGTGTAGCCCTGAGTTGCTCTCACAAGAGATACAACAAAGAATGGGTCTTGACTGGGTGCCGTGGCTCATGCCTGTAATCCCAGCACTTTGGGAGGCTGAGGCGGGTGGATCACAAGGTCAGAAATTTGAGACCAGTCTGGCAAACATGGTGAAACCCCATCTCTACTAAAAATACAAAAATTAGCCTAGCGTGGTAGCAGGTGCCTATAATCCCCGCTCCTGGGGAGGCTGAGGCAGGAAAATCACTTGAACCCGAGAGACAGAGGTTGCAGTGAGCCAAGACTACGCCGTTGCACTCTAGTCTAGGTGACAGAGTGAGACTCCATCTCAAAAAAAAAAAAAAAGA